TTCTGTATTTAGGACAGGATCTACAGGGTCTCACTACATAGATGGACTCGTAGTGATTCTCCTGTTTTCAGCCTCCCAAGTGCTGGGATTACAGGTGCGCGCCACTACACGCAGTCTCAGTCACCATTTCAGTGTACCACCTGGGCAGGGCCAGCATGGCACACTGGGGATTGAAGCCCGGCTGCTGGGCTCTGCCTAAGCAGGCGCTTTAGTCTGCTGAGCTATCAGGCTGGCCCTTCGCCTGGGTGATTATTGAGCTGCACCCACTCCAAGCTGAGTGCTGTTGGGAGCTGAGGATGTGAAGAAGGAAGAAGAGCGAGCCCTGATTTTAGGAAGTTGCGGTTTTCATATGGAAAGGCAGTTGGATGTGGTGGCACAAGCCTATAATCCAGCACTCATGAGGCTGGGGCAGGAGGATCTCTGTAAATTCTAGGTCAGCCAGGGCTACATAAAGAAGTTCAAGGTCTGCTTGCATGACACAGCTAGACTGTGGATCAGAAAAAAAAAGAAAAAAAAAAAAAAAAAAACTAAGAAAAGTTAGTGTCAACAACTAAACCAGAGAACTTGAGATACTTTGCCAACATTACACAGGGTGATGTGAGAGGTGGTGGGTGGATCACTTCAGATAGCGCGGCAGTTCAGCACCTGAATGTAAAAGACACAGCCCAGGGCATCAGGGGACACGAAGAGCAGAGCACAGGCCCTGAGGTCAGCTAGAGCTTCAGGTGTTTTAGCAACATGTGGCCAGCGCTGAGTGCAGCACAGAGAGGGCGGGGCGGGCACCGGGCCTGGGGAGCACGGCAGGTACTTGGCGCCTCCAGGCTGGCGAAGGATCTGGGCACTGCGTGTGGCCCTTGAGACCTTGTCCTAAGCACTGTGGAGCACAGGAGAGCACCGCATCATGTCCTGGCCATCTGCTCAGGAGGCGCTCGGGAGCCTGAGCTTTCTAGGCTGCCACAGATGACACCAAGGAGGGGACCCAGGGGATGCGGGCCGGACACAGGCTCGGCCACAGGTTCCAGGGACGCCACTGTTGCTGTGGACACTTCTGCTCTACAGTTTCATTCAGACTCCCAAGTTCTTCCTGTGTGGATGTGAAGTCTGCAGGAAAGGCAGCAGCAGCGCAGCAGATGCCGGGCGCGGCCCTCACTGGCTGACTTAGCCTCTAGCTGTTGTCTGCCCATCTCTTGGTTTTGCCAAAATAATTGAAATTAAAATAGCGGCTGTCTGGACACTTGAGCCTTCCAAGTCCATCAGCATGCACCCCGTAACAAGGACACTCCCGCCCGATGCCATTATCCCAGCAAAAAGCCTTGTCCGCTTCTTACGAGCACCTAATACGCGCACCTCTGGGGGTGTGGCTCATCATAGAGTGCTTGTTGAGCATGTGCAGGGCCCTTGGTTTAATCCCCAGCACGACAAAATTAATTAAAATAAGTGGTTAGTCATGTTAAATGAAAATTAGGAATGTATAACAATTATGAGGAAGATTTATGAAAATGTGGACACCATACTATCTCACTATTTCTCAAA